TGCATCCACTAGATGGAGCTATGCTCAAGGAAATACCAACAGAACGATCAGATGTCAGTAAAACTTATTTAATAAAGCAGCGACACAGTTCACTTCACCAACAGCAAGTTATAACATTGACTCAATAACGATGAACTCTCTTGCCGCTGCTCTATTTCCGTGTTCAACTACGTAACCGATCGCCTTAAGTTTGAACTCTGCGTTGTCATCATGTCTCGAGCAAGGCGCCATTTTGGGGGTCGAAATATTACCGTAATGACCATACACAAGGCGCATCGGATTTTAAGGCGCGCTGTGAGCTTTTAAGAAAATGGAAGGCTTTTAGGTGCACCTTTTAGTGCGGAAAATACGGTATCTTATCACGTCCAAATATTAGTCATTCTTCTATTCATCAACAGTCTTATGTGACTGTGTGTTGGAGTCGGCGCCTCAATGTGCGTACGTTTACATGCACATATTAAGTGGGATACTGAAAAAGTTCATTCTCTTCACTATTTCACATTATTCTGTGATGTAGTAGTTTACAATCCACTGACAGGACGCAGTTCAATCTGTACCCAAATGCTCCTTCTCATTTGTTTGGCCGCATAGGTTTCGCTCACTTAGTGACTTATTGCTTGCTTGCTAGTTGGTACAAGTCAAGTGGTTTAAAGTATATCAGTAACTTTACAGCTCTGTACAACTGCCACATGAGTGACGAGGATTTATTTTTGCACAATAATCTACAGAGGATATTTTGGTTTACGATAACAAATAAAATGTCCGATGCTCCTTCTTGCTCACATCTTTTGAATGATGCTCACTTAAAATATTATTAATACTAATTTTCAGTTGGGTAACGAGGGGCACGGTTACAGGTTTCATTTTTATTTTTGTAATGGACATATTTTTGCTGGATATTTCGAAAATGTTTTTAACAGGTATGTTTTCTTGCATCCAGTGTAAACATGTGGAGAGGAATGTCCTTTCTAATTGAATTGTCAGGGTGTGTTAATACGGTTGAAAAAATCCATTTCCAATTGGGTGAATGTTTTTTGGGTTTTTTTTCCATTCATGTAAATCAACCAGGGAGCACTTCTGCAGAGGTTGTCCTGTTGTTGAACAGCTTTTTTGCCCTGACTTCCCACCAAAGATAGTTCTGAGGAGGAAACCAAGTTGCAGAAAGGAGAGGCAGGTCCATTATTAAAGTCCAGTTAGACAAACAACGTGGGAAATGGTTAGGAAGCCACACACCCATTATTGTGTCTTGGTGGGGAGATCTGGACTGGATAAACAGTCCCGCATCAGATAGATGCTGAAGTCGGACACAAGTGCACCAACACCCACTGTCAGTCACAGATCCACTGAACGGGAAGAGGTGGCATTGTTTGCGTGAATAGCGTGAATGCTAAGCAGGGGCCATGGCAGATAAGGCCTCAATGCCTTGTGGGTGTCATTGAGGCAAGCATTGATGGAGCACCATGTCACAGGGTCCTGATTTAGCAGGTCCCATCTGTGGTCAACGGGTACCAGAGGGCTTATCTGTTTGCATTATCACCCATTTCCTCCATAAAGTCATTTACCTGGACACTATGGGGTAGATGAACACAAGAGGGTCAATAGCTTAAGTGTCATACATCAACACTTATTTCAGTGTGATGGCCTGAGGATCAGCAGGGATTTGCGTGGAAAAAAAAAATCCATTGTGCTCGACGGGTTGAACCAAAGATCAGCGTAATTTATATTGCCGCATTTGCAAAAATAGCTTTCAAATCAATTTTATTTCCCAATCACTTGGTTGCTTGCACGTGGGCAGCAACGTACAGAGACACTAAGTCACTAAGAAGAAATCATCTCGACTTTCCTATGGAGATGTGCGGCGAAACGAAATGGGAGGTCACAGTCAGGCAGGGATCTAGACTAACTTTTTGCACTGGTGCGGCCAACTTTTTTTCTTTGGTGCAGTGGCACAAAAGTTAGGTGCACCCAAATTTTCAACGACATCACAGTCTTATAGGTTGTTCCGATGAGGGTTATAAGCTGCCAATACCAATCAATCATGAGTGTGATCGGCCAGTACTGATACAAATCATTTGGATTTGGTGTAAAATTTTCCATTTTAGAGCTACAAGTACGGATTGTTCTGAAATAATGAAGCTGTTGATTTTTTTTTAATGAATTGATTAATCTGATTAAAAAACATTGATTAAATGTCTCTGCATTTATTAGTCAAAAACAGGACATTGATTCGAGTTGACCCTTGTGCGGTTCAGATAATGGATGGATGGATGGATGGATATTTAAGTAGTTTCGTGTTAGTAATGCCCCTTGATACTGTTCACCGACTAGGCAGACTAAGCAACTCCTATTTTGGCGTTTTGTAAAATCGGTTTGGACACATGAAGAAAATAAAAACAACGGTTATTGTCTGTTTTTGCAGTCATTCATTGTAATATATTAGCAACTCATCAACGCTTTTTACACATTTACCAGTCACTCGAAGTATGCGCTGAGCAATGGGGGTTCCTTTGGATGGACCGACTACGATAGTATTTGCATCTGCAAAGTTGTGAAGAGTAAAGGTGTTTATATTTAAGTTTAACTTGATCCCACCTGAAACATAAAGTGGACATTTGTGGTGTGTAATAAATCAGGCACACAGACGTGTCGCCAGCTTTTGACGTCTTGAGGAGCAATCAAACTTTACGCATTGGGCAGACACTATAGGAGGATCAGAGCCAGAACATCCATCCCACCATCCATCCATTTTCTAATCCGCTTATTCTCAAAAGGGTCGGTCAGGGGCGTGCTGGAGCCTGTCTTCCTTTAACAGTGACCACAGAGGTCAACGAAAAGGATGGAGCACTTCACAGTTTTTGTTTGCTCTCGATGCCTGATAAACTTCATTTGTCTGATTATTCGATCCGCTGATCCACACGAGAGTCGTGGGCATGCTGGAGCCTATCGCAGCTGTCTTCGGGCAGCAGGCGGGGTATACCCTGAACTGGATGGGCACACATAGATAAACATCCATCCACACGCACAATCACACCTAGGGACAAATTAGAGTGCTCAATTAACTTGCTATGCATGTTTTTAGAATGTGGGAGGAAACCGGAGCACCTGGAGAAAACCCACGTAGGCACGTCGAGAACATACAAACTCTACACAGGAAGGCCGGAGCCGGAATCGAACCCTGCACCTCTGCACTGTGAGGCGGACGTTCCTACCAGTTATCCACCATGCCGCCCTACAGCCAGAACAACAAGACTGAAAAAAAATGTTTCCAGACTCCTGAAAAAATGCCATCACAATCTGTCAACCACGCTATGCAATTGTTTTTGTAATTCTGGTCTCTTGAACATTATACTATGAAATAGATCACTTCTGCAAGCTGCAAAACTTGGATAGTCAATGCCTACATCTTTGCACATTATATTTGTATTTTCATTTTGCACTGACTGTTACTACTGTCGATTTCATTTACATTGTGCTTTTATTCATTCATTCATTTTCCGAACCGCCTTATCCTCACTCGGGTTGCCAGGGGTGCTGGAGCACATCCCAGCTGTCTTCGGGCAGTAGGCGGGGGACACCCTGAATTGGTTGCCAGCCAGGGCACATTGTGCTTTTAATTTTTTTTTAATTGCTATTAAATTGTTCTTATGTTCATTTGCTACGAGCCTTTTCTCCTCAGTATTTACCTTCAAGTACTACTTTCAGCACTCTTTTCCATCTTTTAAATTTTCTACATTAGTGAGGGGAGACAAGCTGAGTTCGAATTTCATTGCTTGCTGTGACTGCTGAGCTTCTACTGTGCGTATGACAAATAAACATATTGAATATGATTACAGAATAATCCAAACTATATGATATGCTCGTCTGTTTCTTGGGTAGTATTGATGTGCCCTTGAAAAAGGCACCACGCATTCCCCAGAGCAAGAGGCCCATTCACTCTGACACCCCATGTTGCATCGTGCATGTCTCTGCATGCAAATGTGCATTGGCAGAACACTTAAATTAGACAGTTGCACTGTATTAACCCATGCTGGAGGACTGCATCATATACACCAGTGACTAAGAAAAATGAATAAAATACAAACATAATGTAAACATTGGCAAAGACAGGTTTCGAGGAGTGCATTTGGACGTTTATAACCTAAAAAAAAACAACGCGTGCATTTTCAAGCAATTCATTTTCGGTTTTTACACATCCATATTGCCATTCTGTTAGTAGATTACAAGTCACGTTAGAAAAGTGGTCCATAAACTTCACATATTATTCTGTGTATATGAAACATCGACCGACCTTGCAAGACAACTCGCAGAAGGAGCTAACAACAACAACGCACAGACAGCGCGGCAGAGCCTTTCGATGAAATAAATACATGACGGTAGTAAAGAAACTTTAGCACGCTACCATTTCTGGACGACAATGCTGTTTTGACAGTCGTCAGGACCCGCTTAGCGTAGCTAGGCTCAATACAAAACATGCGCCAGTTTGAAAGGACCCTTGTTTACATTACGTTAGCTGTCCTTATAATGCCTGTAAAAAAATCTCTCGCGCGCTTCTTAGTGTTTTTCCCAGTTCACAACGTTTGTGTGCTTGTGCACGCGCGCGTGCGTGTGTGTTAGAAAGCGAGACAGCGAGAAAGTGTATGTGTGAGAGAGAGAGAGAGAGAGAGAGAGAGAGAGAGAGAGAGAGAGAGAGAGAGAGAGAGAGAGGGGGAGAGAGGAGAGAGAGAGAGAGAGAGAGAGAGAGCCACAATACATGTATGTCAAGAATTTTGAGTTGAAATGTAGACAGTGCTGTATTAATAAAGTTTGACTGGTTGATTCATACGAAGTATATTAAAACAAAATTGTGTGAATGTGAGTGTGAGGTGAGAAAATGTGTGCTTGGATAGTGACCAATCCAGGGTGTACCCCCATCTCGCCAGAAGCCAGCTGGGTTAAGCTCCAGCAGTTCTGCACAGATAAACCGAATTGAAAGTTTATGGAAATGTAAGAATGAAAATGTTTACTATCAGCCTGACTTGCATTTTCTGTCGATTGCCTTTTTTCATTGCCTAATGAAATGACCACTGACTCCTTGGACCATTTTATGGCATTATAATCCATCATTCCTGAAAACTACAGAAGCTCTTGAAATGAGCAGAGCAGTAACAGTCACACTCTATGAACAAGTGAGTCATTTTGCATTCTTTTCAGTCTAATTGAGAAAGAGAGAGAGAGAAAAAACGCACAGCCCTAAATCCACAGAGCACACAGAACCCTTTCACAAGAGGTCTGGGAGAGACCTTTATTTGTCCATTCCAATCACAGAGAAAGGAAGGTTTCAAGCTTGGATTGATTTGAGCTGGAAGATTAGATGAAACCAGAGTGTTTTAAACCTCTTCTGTGGCCATGGATTAGAGTCAGGCAGTCCCTGTACTCCAAAATGAAACAATAAAGGGTATGGGTGGATCAGTGGGAGATGATGCAAGGCAGGGACAGCTGGATACCTGAAGGTATTATCCCAAGCAGCATTAAAAAGCAATTAAAAGAGGCGTAATTTGGTACATCATAACTGAAAATCAGGAGACGTGAAGTTGAAACAAAAATGCAGCTGCCTCAAATACATCCATTTTCACCAAGTTCATCATTTCATAGATATTGAGCATTAGGGGATTCACTTGAATGGTTGCTAGTATAATGCATGTAAAATAGCATGCCCCATAAATTGAGATGTTGATTTGGACCACTAGTCAATTAGTGCAAATGGAGTTAGGCCCATAACTCCTGAGCAGGAGATAGGAGGAAGTGTTGGCAGCCCTGTCATGAGCACAGATAGCCAGATAGCCTAGCCGAGATCATCATCAATTATTCCTGGCATCTCAGTTTACTCGAGGCCAAAGATGATACTTGGGACAACGTCGGTGTGCCTTTGAGAGACAGATCCCCCTTGAGGAGCCAGTGACGTTGAGGTTTAGAGATTGGGCTGTGTATAAATATTCACCCAAGGGAATGTGTGGAAGGAAATCCCTGGGATGGCACTCTCCCTTACAAAGTCACACAGTCTGACACACAGGTCACTTTACAGCTCATCACCGAATTAGAAGGCTGAGTAACAGCCGGACCACTGTGTGATACACATACCGTATTTTCCGTACTAAAAGGCGCACTGGATTATGAGGCGCACCTTCAATGAATGGCCTATTTTGTAATTCTTTTCAAATATTGGACGCATCGCACTATAAGATGCAATCTACAATGCATCCACTAGATAGAGCTACGCTCAAGGAAATGCCAACCGAACTGTAGCAACGCCACTCGAGTGAAGCGCGCCTCAGTAGTCCATAGTCCGCTGCTCTCTGCTGTGAGCGCGTAACTGCGAGCACGGACGCATGTGGTTCAACCAATCAGCGCCGATGCAACCCACGTCACAGATCAAGGAAGCTTTGAACAAATGACAACAGCTGTTGAGTGGCATTGCTACAGAACGATCAAATGTCAGTAAAACATATTTAAAAAAGCAATGACACAGTTCACTTAACCAACAGCTAGTTTTAACATTGACTCGTTAACATTGAACTCTCTTGCCGCTGCTCTATTTCCGTGTTCAACTGCATAACCCGATCGCCTTAAGTTTGAACTCTGCGTTGTAAGCATGTCTCTAGCAAGGAGCCATTTTGAGATCAACATATTACTGTAATAACCATACACAAGGCGCAGCGGATTTTAAGGCGCGCTGTGAGCTTTTAAGAAAATGGAAGGCTTTTAGATGCACCTTTTAGTGCAGAAAATACGGTACTGTATATGGGCCACCGACATTTCAACTCTTGGCATTGAAGCATTAAATTGCCGTGAAGGAACAAGCCCAAGGAAGAATATCGCAGACTCTGCTTGTCAACTTCAGATGTCACATAATTTAATTTGACTGAGGATGTGAGGCAGATGAAGATTAAGACTTGGTTTTAGTCATTAGACCAATTGAAAATAAAATGCAATACTGTGCTCTGTACACCTGAATATTGAATATTTTGGTGGTATTATTCATCGCATTCTTCGCTCACATGCACAGGACTTGTGCTGGCGAATTTCTACACTGGTAACAGATGCAGTAATTAGGGCTTGACATTTTGCATGAATGGAATTCGCTGGAGAACAAAGGAATGAGAAAGTAACGTAAGGTCACAATGATCCCAGTCACGGTAACTCTAAATTACCCTGATAAACACACTGAAATACATTGCATGGACCTTCATTTTGCCTTCCTCTATAACTTGTAATGTGAGCACGGACAAGCACTGCGTTGTGCTATCAGAATAGGAAGAGAGGATAGCATGTGTTGGAGTGTGTGTTGGATGATTATTGTATCGTCTCATGATTTTCACTCCCCTTCCTGTTTTCCTTGGGGAGCTTTTCAGGTGTGAATGAAGAGACTGACGAGAGTGAGGAGTGACTGGCCTGCCCATCGCATTGAGGAGGAGGAGTACATCACACAACTTTAATAAATACATATCATGGCTCAACCATCCTCCCTTGGAATGGTAACGAGGGAGGCAACCTAGAGACTGCAGTTAATATTCTTTTGAAGGAGACAGCTTATGTGCAGCACTATCAGCATGGCTCAACCATCCTCCCTTGGAATGGTAATGAGGGAGGCAACCTAGAGACTGCAGTTAATATTCTTATCAGCTTTTTTTTGTTTTTTTTAAACCCTCCTCTTTAAAGGTGAAATGTTTTCTCATGGCCAGATGATTTGATTCTGCTCCTGTGAAAATGGCTTTGACTGCTCTGAGCATTTCTCAACAATGAGGACACTCAATTATGTGTGATAAATCCCTTTTCTACCATGATATACATTTTGCTACACATCATATGAACCAATATGATTTATTCAGTTCCAGTCCAATCGATGCGTTACAGAGCAATTGATGTCAATATTTCAACACATTGGTTCATCAAAGAAATAACATTTAGAATGGAATTCCCATCATCATCATTTGGAGGCCTGAGATATGTCGGCAAGTAAAATGCAAGCAACTGAGGTGAGCTCTTCTATCTCTTGTGTTGAGGTCGCACAGGTGGTGAAAAAGGTCCTCGGTGACAGGTGCTCCTGGGGTGGACAAGTTTTTCCTGGAGTCCCTTGAGGCGTTGGATGTTGTCGGGCTGTCTTGGTTGACAGGCCTCTGCAGTACTGCATGGACATCTGGGATTTGGGCTTGGAAAGCTTTCAATCATGTCTCTCCGGGGGGATGTATGCGTGGGGCGCTGCAGTATTGGGTACTCTGTGGTGGCCTTTATATGGGCTGCCCGGTTGCTGGACAACAGAGTTTGGTCCACATCACATGCAGGGAGCGATGGTGGGACCACGGTTAGTTTTGCATTTTTCATTCAAGTTCGTTTGTATTTCGCGCTGACTTTTTTTTTTCAGTTGGTTTTAGTTTTTAGGGCAGATTTGTGAGTTTTTAGTAGGTTTTTTTTTTTTGTAATGCTTTGTTTTAGTTTAGTTTTGAATCGCTTTAGCATTACTTCATTTTTTTTTTTTAATGCATAGAGCAGTGGTTCTTAACCTCCTTAGAGGTACCGAACCCAACCAGTTAATATACACATTCACCGAATCCTTCATTAGTGAAAAATAAATATACATATTTTTTACAAATTCAAGATATAAAGAACACATTTATTAAAAACAGAAAAAAAGTATATAAAATTTCAAGAGATAAGTATAATTTTTTTTTTTTAACTATACGACATACTATCACAACAGTCACATGTTGACTACTAAGCGAATTAAATTTCCCACAGCACTGATTGGACAAGCAATGTCATGTGATCATCTGCAGCCAATGATGGCCAAGCGGGCGTGTCATAACTAATTGACATGTTGAGTCGGGTATGTCTTACCCTTCATGGCAGAGGCTCCGTCGAACCCGTGAGACCGATTCACCGAACCCCCGGGATTCGATTCGATCGAACCCAGGTTAATAACCACTGGTATGGAGTATTTGTAAAGTGCAAGTTAAAAAAAGTATTGTGTAATAAACTACAATTCTTAAATGACTGGTCTTCTTTCTCGACAGTAAAACAGAAATAAATACATTTAAAAATTAACCGTGAAAGCCCATGAATGATATTAATTGACAAAGACAAAATCAAAGGACATTTTCGCAATAATTGCTGTTCTATGGTGGGAAGAGCTTTACTCAGAGTAGGAGGCTGACCAAGGTCTCTTTTAGCGCATTCCATTTTCGAAACAGTTATGCATGCTTTGAATGTCAGGCCTCCATCCCCCTACAGTTAGTCCAGAATGCTGCTGCCACATCTGCGAACCAGTACGTGTAAGCAAGAGCACATCACCCCCGTGCTGGCCACACTCCACTGGCTTCCTGTGCTTTTTAGGATTTATATACATTTTTTTAGCTGAACGGTTTGGCTATCGCTCCAACCTATTGGAACCCAATATCTCTTCTGGTGGCCACAAGCCTAAATCAAGGTGAGACAACACGATCTCTGTGGTGGCACAAGTAGCTTGTAAGTGGCAACTCCAAAGCT